GTTTGTGGCACTGTCTATCCATGAAGGGCGTGCCAGTTAAATTGCTTTGCATCATGCAGTATTTCTACCGTGACTCGCGACATCGTGTAAGGGTCTGCGGGAAACTCTCCTTAATTCCCCACGGCAAGCGGAGTTTACCAGGATTGTCCTGTACCTTCTTTCCTCTTCAAAGATCAAAGTAATCATGAATGATTGTAGTTTCAGACGACTGGCGTGGTTTTGTCAGATGACCGACTGATAAACCTGGGGTATGCGGACGACATAGCTCACCTTGGTTCTAATACGGTGGCTGTGCCCACTACTGGATAGACTGACGCGTAGCGCTGCGCACTTCGGCACCTTCAAAGCACAAAGTACTGTTGCAGGACTGGACCGACACATATTTGGTTCAGGCCATCACCAACAGCCACTGAAAGTGGTAGGTCGGTTCACTTACCTCTGTAGCTGTGACACTGGTGGGCACATCATTGAAGAGGTTTTTTCGCGCAGCAGCAATGGCTATGTGGTTTTCCAGGAGCTCAACCATCAACGGAGGCGAAGAAATATCAGCCTGTCAGTGAAAAGGAGGGTGTATAACGCTGCGATAAGACCAGCGATATTAAATGGACCGGAGGCCTGGCCAATTGGTGGTGAAGACCTTAAACGCTTGACAGTGTTTGACTACTGGCGGTTGCGTATTGCTAACGTCTGGTGGGAACACCGGGTGAGCAATGCTGAGGTCCGCCAGTTGGTTTTTGGTAAGAAGTCTTTTAATTGCTCACTCAAGTGTCTTATGTTGGCCAAGACATGTTCTCCATATACCCGTTGACCGGTTTACTTGACGCGCATTATACGCAGTGTTTGTATCAAGCTGGGCGAAAACATGAGGTGGACAGTCGATGACGTAGCATTGAGGCATGAGGTAAGTAACTGAGATCTGATCACACTGTGTCACCTTCGTGGATGGGAGCCTCGGGATAGTCCAAACAAATGGCTGGAGACCGTATCAGATATGGCACACTCACGTGGTCAATGGCAATCTTGCATTCGGTTTCTTGCATCTGGCTGTCAATTCTCGTTCCATACCAATAAGTCTAACGTGCCTCCTTCTCTACGCCAGTTTCTTTGCATGCTATCGGTAATCAATCACGCTATCTTGTCGTTGTTATTCTTAAATGATCGGATCATAGTTGTTTAACCGAACCGAATCCAACCCAACGGCATGGATCCAAATCCGTTCCCGAGATACGGGGCCTGTCCAATTCTCTTCGACTCAAACATCTGAACCACATTTCCATGAGTTACCGTTATCATCGCGGAAATTTGGTCTTCACCCGACGTATTCTTAGAGATTTTGGGAAGGACTTACAGGAATTCTTTCATAACAACTCAGAGTTCGACAAGAGGCCACAGCTTAAAACTGTTCAAACCGAAGAGTCATCGAGTGCGATCCAGCCTGGCTTTATCCACTGGCGTCGTGAATGACTAGAACCGCTCGCTGGAGTCTATCGTGGAGACCGAGACGGAGGAAGGTTACAAGCAGTTGGAGGATTCTCACTTTAGTTTACGGGGATTCAGCTGTTTCCAATGCAGCTTCAGTGCTTCTTTGTGGGACCTTGTTTCGCAATGACCCAGGCTATCACCGTACCGATCGGGAAGTGACGGAGTTGTAAAGGACCTTCCTTCTGCTCTCTATCATCTAATGATCCGATGAACCAAAAGGTCGCCGGACGCCTCGTAATATCACTGGTCTGTGCACGACTGGTAGTGATCGCGATGGAGCGAAGGGATGAGACGATGTAATGGTGTACAGCTAAGGCCCTTCTTTCTCCTCTGCATAAAGTTTGCGTGGAATAGATTAAGCTAGAAACCTAACGGAGAACTAGGAAACGCTGCGTAACTCGAACAAGTAGCAAGGAGTTCAAGCTTGTTGATCTTAGTGCACTATTATGGGAATCGTTATGATGAACAAACGCATGCTGCCTATCAATTAGGGCAAATGTAGTCGATTCAACACTGTAACTACCTGTGCAAGCCACAGCTGTCCACCATATGGTACCTGTAACTGTTTTCCTTTGTCGCAGTTATTATGCCACTCACTATAATTGCGCTGCCAGGCGACTTGACATGTTGCATGAGAAGCAAGGTTAATTCCATGGGGTTCAGGATAGAGTTGATCTTACATCAGCATTATACACGTTAGATAGAGGTGTAAAACACCTCAGCTACTGCGCCGTAATACATAAAAGAAAAAAAAGAGATACAACAGTTGCATGCCAGCTGAGCTACCAGCAACAGATAGGCATCTTTCCGGAAAGCTACCAGCCGGCTACTACGCAACAATAAAAATTATGAGGTAAAAGTATATTACGCTACGAAATGAGATCGTGGTTGGAGGGAAAAGCTAAAGGGATGGAAAGGGACAGGTCGCAGTAGGAACGCCACTGAGGTCAGCTCCTAGCCATGTCAGCAAGTGTATCTAGCCAAACGTATTCACCGTCTTTTGGACCCAAACCAGGGAGCCGTGAAGCTCCAACCGAGGCCAGCGCCGAAGTCAGGGCCCTCATTCCTCTCGACCAAGTTATCGCTTGGTCACCACTCCTCTTCTTCCAGCCACATCCCCGGCGCGCAAACAACACATGTCGCGGGAGTCACTGTACTGGCATGCGCAACACGTGACCGAGCCATCCGAGCCTGGTGCGTGAAATAACGGTGCTGAGCGGTTCAGTTCCTTTTCCTGTGCCATAAATATGCTCGCTGCTCACGTTCCCACCAGATGTGAACCAAACTGCGAAGGCACCGATAGACGAACCTCACTAGCCTCTTTATGTCCGCCGATCCTAGGGGCCAGGTTCCGCAACCGTACAGTAAGGTCGAAGGTACCGCTGCATTATACACTCTACCCTTCAGGGCGAGTGATGTCGCGCCGCCGCTATAGGTGGCGAAGACTAGCAAAAGCACTTCGAGAGTTTGCTATGCGGTTCGTGATCTCGTCTTCGATCCCAAGAGCGCTGATACAATTTCCTATGTAGTTGAATTTCTGAAGGACTTCTAGCTGATCCCCACAAAGGGTCAGCTCAGGCGATCTCTGCCAAGCTTAGAGAAAAGCTTTGTACTTCGATGATGCAAAGCAAAGCCCAAAGCGGCTGACAACCAGTGCTAATCTGTCCAGTGCCGCTTGGCACGTCTGGGGGCTGTCACAGATGTGGGCAATGTAGTATGCACACTCAAAGTCAAGAAGTCGTTTTCCTGGGAGTAGCTCCACACCTTCTAAGTCGTCCTGTAGATGCAATCATGACTTCGTCAATAGCGAAGTTGAAGAGGAAAGGTGACAACAGACATCCTTGTCTCATACCGCTGGAGGTTTTAAAAAGCGACGACAGCTTGCCGTAAGCTCGCACGCTGCCCGAGCTACGCACGTATAATGCTCAGATAATATCTACATATTTGTCGAGCACACCTTTCCTGAGTAGACAATTCCAAAGGGCACATCAATCAACCGAATCGAAGGCCCTTTGATATCGAGGAACACGAGTATGGTGGGCCGCCAATATATGTGACGGTGCTCCAAGAACTGGCGCAAAGTGAAGAGGTTGGCGTATGCAGCCACGACCCCGACGAAACCCGGCTTGCTCCTCACGGATCTGGCTTTCACGAGCGCCAGTCAGTCTGTGAAGGATTACAGAGGCAAGTAATTTGGAGGCGATGGGGATCAGACTGATTCCTCTATGGTTGCCGCATTCCGAGCGCGAGCCGCCTTTGAACATGGGAACCATAACGGAGCGGCTCCAGTCGATAGGGACAGTTTCCCGCTCCCAGTTTCACCAGTAACTCGTGTAGATCATCAACAAGAGCAGGGCCCCTGAATTTGGAGAGGGCTGGATGGAGATAAGCTAGTCCCGTGGCCTTGTTCAACTTCAACAGTCCGATCTCACGTTCGACTTCTGAGCGAGTATGCGGATCCCAAGGGACAGCCCACGGAGCAGGGCAATCACCGATCGGTGAAGAAACGAATAATTCCGGCAGATTAAATTGCTTCTTAAAATGTTCAGCCCAACGCTCCAAGCGTTTTGATAAGTTGTAGATAGGCTATCCACTCTCGTCACGTATATTTTCACTAACATCAGGTCTCCTGCTCGTTTCCCGTGGCAGGCGGAATAAATTTAGATGGTTACCAAGGGCAGCGGCTACTTCCACCTGACGTATGAAGAGACTATCAGGATTCGCGGTCTCTTCAGGCTAGCACGAAGTTTTGCCCGGAGCTCTATGCGAGTTTCATTGTGTACGCGTCCAGCCGCAATATGCGGGCGAGCATAGGTAAGTTTCAGAGACCGCATGTCCATGTTTGCTATTAAACTTACCCCATAAGGATTTGCCTGATGCTAATAAGGTCTGGTGAATATGCGACCAGCGACCTACAATTATTTCCAGTGAGCGCTTATACAACCGCATGTCAGCGTACTTTGGTAGGCATTCAGAACAGCTGGCTTCGTCAGTTGGCTGGTGTCAATGCGCTCACAGTGTCGTCGTGGGCGACCGACAAAACACCTCCCCATGTCAGCGCATACAATTGCATGGTCAGAGTCCACACATGTGCTTTATATCGAGCGACAGTCGGTAACTGTTTGCAGTGTGTTTGATTTGCGTCCAAGGCTGTTGGGAACCAAGTCAACTTCCGGCGAGTGCTGTGTCTTAAGTTAGTGCACAAGGTATCCCAGGATAAATACTACCAAAGAACGAAATTTCATAGTAAATTATGTAAATGATCTCCCCACCGGTTGTCAAGCATTCAATTTGCTTTATAAAGGAAAAGTTCATTTTTAGTTGGATTACAATGTTTAATGTTAGCCATACAGAGTGCTACTAACCACCTGACAGTGGCCGCGGTCCTACAGCGCAGAGATGAAACAACTAGATTTATCATACCACAATCTGTGTGTGCAGTAAAGAGCAATGTGTGGGGTTGTAACCAGTAAAGCGTATGCATAGTTTAACGAAGATGCAATGGCAATCAAACTCACCGTATCCCAAATCTGCAGCTTAATTTTCTTATTGTCTAGCTTTACCATGCGGGCCCCGAATTCAACACCTATTGTCAGATCGTAAACAGGTTGAAAGCGCCTATCGGTAAACTGAAGAAGTAGACAAGATTTGCCCACACCGGTGTCACCGATGATGATGTATTTAAAGAGATAGGCGTACGCCATGTCCAAATAATACAGACACAGTAAGAAGGATAAATATTCAGAGCAAACCACAAGTAAGGGAATAAGCGTACATTGCTCTCGGAATTTACGGACTATTAAGACACGGAAAATATAGTACTCACAGAGGGTAAGAGAGCAATACTATCACAATTGTCCTACGGTACAGCAAGGAGTATTTTTAATTTAAAGATTAACAAATTCGAAACAGGGCAACTAGAAGTGACTTTTCCAACCTGCTGCAGTTAGCTAGGTCGTTTCAGCTAAGCGGTCCTTACATGGATGGGAAGACCTCAGCTGTTATATCAGCCAACTCTAGCGTAATTTGAAGCTCAAATTCAAGCTCCATTTGGAAGCAAACGAAACAAAATCATGTTAATGTTCCTTCTTTTGCGTATTGTTGATCCGGGAATTGATAGGCCTACTTGAGGTGTTGAAAAACTTGCGTGCTGCTGTTATCAGCATGCTTCGTGAATCTAGTTCAAGTTCAAGTTCAAGCGGGACTGGAACGATAGGATTATCCCGTGAGTGTTCCTTCTTCGGAGGGTCGTTAAAGCAGGAGTTAGCGAACTTTGAAATACTGATGGATCTAAAACAAAGACCGCATCACACCCTGTCCAACCAATTAATGCCCACGTATCCTGCCATAGCAGGCCCTGCTGGGTCGGTTACGTGAAGTAAGAAAGAGAAAAAAGTAAACGCAGACGGCAAAAGAGAAAGTGTTAAGAGCTAAGCAAGTGGAATACCAAGATATTTGAGTCAATAAAAAAAGAACTGAAAAGTGAAGGAGAGTCGGCTAGGAAAAAGGCAAGGTTTGCTGTTGCCACCCTAGAGCATCGAGCTGGCGCGCAAAACCCTTAACTGTAGGTTCCCTAACCACATGATCTGGAAGCGAATTCCAGCGATCTATAACTCGGCGCGATAGACGAGTTTCCGTCCTAATCCTATCAGACCGTGGTTTATGCAGTTTCAGTGGGTGACCGCGGAGACTAGGTAACGTAGCGGGACTAAAAAGCCCTGACAAGTCCCGGCCAATCTTACCCGTCAAAATACGATAAGTGAGAATCAGGTCCCCTCTTATCCTTCGGCGTGCATAGAGTACATACCCAAACTGAGAAAGCGTTCTGGATACGTCTGTCCCCGTAGACCCTGCACTAACCGATTGCCCACTCGTAACACCCTCTCCAAGTCCATTTTGTCTCGGTTAAGACATGGTGGACAAGCCTGAATACAATATTCCAGGTGGGGTCGGACGAATGCCGAAAATAGCTTCACAAACAACTTGGCCGTTAAGATTCCGAAAGAGCGGCGGATAAACCACATCATACGAAACCCTCGACAAGCAGCCTCCTTCCAGTTGTCTCCAGAATGAAGTGCTGATGCGTGTACGACTCCTAAATCAACCTGCTGAGTGACAACAGGGAGTTCACCACCGCCGACAACATATTGGGTGTGAGGATGTGCAGCTCCGATTCGGAGAACAGAGCACTTCGCCCTATTTATGGGCATCAACCACAAGATAGACCATTCCCAGAGCCCATCCATGGCACGCTGAATTGCCTCAGGACCCCCGGGATATCCACAATATTCCAGAGCTTAAGGTCGTCAGCAAACATTAATGTTGACACCCCTAGCTCTCCCGCCAAGTCATTTACATAGCTCGCGAACAACAATGGCCCCAATACCGAGCCCTGCGGAAAGCCACTAAGGACAGCTTGCCTGAGCGAAAGGCTACGCCCCACCCGTACGCACTGTTCCCTCCCCTCAAGGAAGGCAGACACCCATTGAAGGCCGCGACCAGATATCCCGTAAGATCTCAACTTTAGTGAGAGCCGAAGATAAATAAATAAATAAATAAATGATATATTTCTCGACATGCGAGACACAGGCAGACTACGAGCCTGATCATGTGGTACAACAAAGTCGGGTAGTGGAGAGGGATATTCAGTGACCTATTGTTTTCACATAGGAATGATTCAATGCTAAATCAATTAAAAATAGTAAAGGAGTGAGGGTAGTAGAAGTTGAGAGTAAGAATAAAAATAGATATAAACTGTCAGTTTAATTGGAGTAATACGACCCTTCATGAAACCGTCTCCCGGAGACCTGCTTCCACACTTCTCTTCCACATCTCATCTGGCCATGTGCTATTGTGGCGTTATATGTATACAATCATGTGGGGGCTGTGGAACAGTGTCAAAAGCTTTCGAAAAATCTACGAATAGCACGTCTCCAGCGTGGCCACTGTCTTCCGCTTTGGCCCAGCTTTCACGAGCTACAAGTAGATCAGTCTGACATGAAAACCCCTTGCGGAATCCATGTTGCGCAACACTGAGAAGTTTGAATCTATTCAGGTGGTTGTCCACTGAATCCCTTATCAGCTTTTCAAACAACTTGACTACTACGCTTGTCAAACTGACAGGCCGGTAGTTCGCGGGTAGAGAACTGTCACCGCCCTTAAAAATCGGACAGATGATTGCCTCCTTCCATTCCGAAGGTAGGCTGCAGCTATCCAGTGATATTGAAAACACGCATGTGAGCGGACCACTCAGCTCAGTGGCCAATTCATGCAACAGCTTCGGATGAATTGAATCAGGACCGGAAGCTTTAGAGGGATAAATACCTTGCAGTAGCTCGAAGACCTGAGTCTCCGTTATGCTAAATTCAGCTAAGCAAGAATCCTTTGGAACTCTTGAAACCAATTCAACCTGTGGTAAAGAGGTCTCCCGAGCAAAGACCCCAGTATACTGATCACTCAGTATACAAGCCTTGTCATAGTCAGTTTGCGCACGGGTCCCGTCTGCTCGCAATAAAGCTGGTATAGACAGTTTTGCCCTGCTGCGTCTTTTAACGTAAGCAAAAAACTTCTTGGGATTAGCTGCGGCCGAGTCCGCTAAACCCTGCTCGTATTAGAGACGAGCAGTTCTGAGATGTTGCTTACATTTATTTCTATTCTCTCGATAACTATCATAGGTACTGGCTGATGGAGCTGCTTGGTAGGTTCGCCAGCATCTAGACCGTTTCTTGAGTAGGAACTTGCCTGTGGTATCTATCCATGGAGGCTGTGCCCTTAACCCTCTTTTCCTCATGAGTGGAATATAGGGAGTGGAAACCTCCGTAAAGTATGCCTTAAATTTATCCCAGGCTAACTGGACAGAGTCAGTCATCGAGATCTCACAGTTCAGAACTGAAGCCTTAGTTCGCATTGCACTAAAGTCCGCCCGCCAAATATTCGGAAGTAATTCAACAGCGGTCTCTTGGTGCCTTGAAAGAGCACATCGAAAGGATATGCATGCGTGATCGCTAAACCCTAGAGGTGCACCGCATGAAACGTCAGGCACGAAGTCCAGGGACTTAGCGAAAACCAAATCCAAAGTAGATGGTATTTGGTTGTCCATATACCTAGCGGGAAAGTCAACGAACTGGTGCAAAGGCACTTGGAGAGTCAGTTCAAGGAAGTCTGCACCGAACGTTCCTAATGCCGAATTGCAAGAAAGATCGGCCCAACAGACTTCCGGGAGGTTGAAATCCCCTAGAACTAAACGCTTATTCGCAGACTGAGTGCGAATAAAGTCAAGTATCCCCCTGGAGGAACTTCCAGGACTTCTGTATATCACTATAACTGTAAACTGGGTTGAGGAAGTGCACAAAACAGCCGATAGGGCTTCAACAGTCTGATCCGACGACTGGAATGTGCAGTTCCTCAACACATCTAAGTTACAGCTCACATACACTACAACGCCTCCGCCTTGGCGACCAACGGAGGGATCAGTTCTAAGCAGCGCGTAGCCAGGTAACTATACCTCACCGTCCGTGATATCCGGAGACGACCACGTCTCAGTGAAAGCAAGTATGTCGGGACGAGATTTGTCTGCAAATAGACCCAACTCGTGCACCTTGTTCCTTAGGCTACGCACGTTGCTAAGTACTACCTCAAGGAAGTCGGCACGACCATCCCTGGGTCGTGCGCCATCAGGATTGGTTCTGATAGTGCGGAAAGTAACTTCCGGCTGACCACCTGAAAACCTACCAGACGGAGGCCTTGCTCACCAGCCGCCCGTCTAGTTTTGAGGTCTTTGATAGCCTCCTTTAACTTCAACCTATCTGCCAGTGGTAGGTCCGGCTGAACGCTGACACCACTACCCTTAAGTTTGAATGCAAATCGCAGTAACGATTTGCGTTCCTCCGGGGTAGAAAGGACTACGCGAAGTAGTCGGGGTCGTGGATTTGGCGCAGCGACAGGAACGTTCCCCAATCTGGTCAGCTTTCTGACAGCGACACCAGGGAAACCAGGTGGAAGCAGCTTGCTGACACACAGTTTCAGCCACTTGATGTCATGCAAGATGCGTTCCCTTGGGAGAATGGCCTCAGATTCAGTAACGTTACGGAATATAACGCTACTGTCAGTGAAAGAGTCGGCACGACGGTAACGTCGTCCACATGTCGGATTAGAGCTGACAAGCAATGGCTTAACTGAGATAGACCATTTACAAAATGGTTGCATTAGGATAAATAAACCTAGGAACCACCGTATAGCGTACAGTATAAAGCTACAAAGCGGGTGGCTTGGCGTAGATGGACCTTGTATACAATGGTATTGGCAGATTTCGTGAATTCAGTTAGCATTTTCCCCAGCTCAGGTTGGAGATAATAAGCAATGGCGCAACAGAGATAGACTATTTACAAAATGGTTGCATTAGACTATGTGGGTCTATGTACCATCGTAGAAACTTCTGCATAAGGTTACCCACCGATCGCTTAGCATATATGGGACTTCTAAAACATGGCAGTAGCAGGCCCTGTGAATCGGTGTAGGTTCCTGCACAGATGACCATAGAGCTACCAAGTGCTGGCTTAACCGTGATAGGCCGAATTTAAAACCGTTGCTCTCGCCTATGTACTCCTGGGTACCATCGAACAAATGCAGAAGAGAGCTACAAAGCAGTGGCTTCGCTGAAATGGATTATGAAAAATGATTACATTAAGCTTGGTGATTCGATGTAGCACCGTCCATAGATAAGCGTGGATCTACCAAGCGAAGGTTTAGCCACCGTAGGCCAATTATTCAATGGTAGCAACTGGCTGTGTGAACCTACGAATCATCGTCCAAAGTT